GCTGAGGTAAGGACCACACCCTCCTAGGCAGTGAATTAAAGACGTTATGGTAGAGACAAGACTCACAAAATTAGAAGGAAAAAGTGTCTCCCTGTTTTACAAATGTAACCTCAGGACATGGGGAGAACACACAACCATCCAAAAATATATAGTAGAACTATCATGGCTGGATCATGTATATGCACAACGTTACACCCATAAAATCATCCTTCCTGTTTGCTCTGTATCACTACATTCATCAACAAAAATAGGTAAAACAAAGCTACCAGTAATATCTGTGTAAAATACAGTGCTAAAAAAAATCACTTGACTGTTTAATTGCTTCCCATGCAAGAATGACTGACTCCAAAAATTCCAATTTAAAGCTAAATGAAAAAAAATTCAAACATTGGATTATAGAATGGCAGGATCACTCCTGAACTCCTAAACTCTGACATAATTATACGTTTCTATGAAAGAATAGGCTATTTGTTCCTTACCAATACATAGTTTAAGCATATACACATATTCTTACTCGCTTTTACTACTAAATTTTCAAAACTGCTGCAATATCAGAAATTCTTTGCCGCAGCTTGCCATGTTTGCCTAACTAATTTAGAAATGAAAGATATGTATCCTCTGTGCTGTCAGCACAACAGCCGCGCATTTGCAAAACAAAATACTGAGCTGCTGACTCTCTTGAATACTGAAATTTAAAACCATTCTCTCGGAAAACATCATAAAGACCCCACAAGAAAAACAAAATCATAGATTTCTTTAGGAACAAGAAAATGTCCACAGAAATTGAGTGAGTTTATCCTGAAGATGATCTGCATCACACAATTGCTCTTGAATAAAAGAGATTATTTTCTAAAGAAGATCTGAATATTAGCAGAGATGTTCTCTTGACAGTTCTCTGACAGTTCATCCACTATTTATTAAATGTCATAAAAGGAAGAGAAACTCTTATATTGTACCATAAGAAAGGCCAATTTAATCACTGGAAAACACAGTGATCCATCAATCAATCTTATCATCCTCAAGAATACAGGCATACCTGAACCAAAACGTCAGAAACATGAAAGATCCATTTGAGGAAAAAAAGGTGCTCACAATTAGCTATGTGAAGGTACCTCAAAGATTAACACTTGTTCTTGTAAAGACTTACGAATAATAACAAAGGATACAGTAATATGTTCAAATGCAGATGTTTAGGTGTACACATAATAAGCCTTTAACATTATTTTCTAATAGGGAAAGGTTTAAGGATTTGCTCAAATCAAAAAGGAAAAGGGAGGAAAAGGAATACCCTTCAAAAAGAGTTCTGAATGTTTAAGACAAAAACGTAACCCATCCTACCCATTGTTCTGGATACCTGCAACTGTGGGATGCTCTGCAAAACCAATGCATGTCTGAACAGTAGGTGGCAATATTACCATCTCTTGAATACAAGATAGACTAACACACTGAAGTAATAGAATTACACTGTAGTATTTATAAGTGCTTTATGGTGCACGTCTACCAAGTCAGATCATACTGGGAAATTAGACACAGTAAAACCGCATTATTCTGTGCTAAAAACAAAAAAATCCTGTCCAACTATGAAAATTCATGGAAGAAAAAAAAATCCATCCAAAGCCATAACCAAAAAGGTGATGAAACAACGAAGAGATGTTTCAATATATGCATAGCATTAAAAATTGTTTTATTTGTGAGCCAATGTTACTTAGGGAAGAGGATGACAAGCTGAATAACCCAACTGAGGTGAAAGTCCAGTACAGGTCATCAGAAATTTATGTAAGACCTGACATGAGGAAAATGGTTTCTGAAACTACACCCTAAGAGCATGTGGTTTATTTCCCAGCTATGTGATGACCTGGGAAGGCTTCCATCTTCACAGATACTCAAAACTTGAAGAGGTATGACAGAGCAATTTGACTTGCTTCAAAGTTGCATTAACCCTAAAGGTGGCACTAGTCTGAGTGGGTAACTGGTCCAGATGATCTCTAGAGGACCTCTCAACCTGGAGTATTCTGTAATTCTTCACCAGACAGTTGTTTTATAAGACAAATTGCTGTTGGTGTGAACCAAGCTTCCAGTTCATGCTTGCTACACACTTGTAGTGAGCACAAAGATTTTGTTCAGAGGAGATGAATGCACACATATTCTGTAACTGGTACTAGCTTTGGCAGTACCAAAAATGTTGGTTCACTGAATCTGACACTGTAGTACAGCTCAGGGTTCTGATGGTACAGGGAGCACCTTTTCTTATGTCAGTGTAAGAATGTCGTACAATAAATAGAGTTTTGCCGCTCCTTGAAGGCACAAGGCTTTCCACTGACCTGAGAGCACAGAATCTCAGAACTTCTCTTGACTTGTCTTGGTCTGAGCAGATTTTAGTTTGTTTTAGCTGTGACAACAATTGTCTGGCAGTGAAGTAACAAGTGAGGCTTACAGTTGCTTTAGTTTCACTATAGTTTCAATTAATAACAAGTAGTTACTCTGTGTGGCTTGAACTGTGTTATCAAGTGCGGTGTGGAAGACTGCAGACCCAGGCGAGGTCTATTAATGGTCACTGCAGAAGCACAATCTTACAACTCAGGAAAGAAAGACAGTACTAAGGATAACAGAGAACGGGGCGGGGAGAAAAGAGTAAATGGGAAACAAAGGAAAGAGCATGTGGACAGACTGAAAAATCTGAAAATAAATCCAGACAGACCCAAGGCCAAGGAGGCAGAAAGGCCCACTGGGAACATCATTCTCCTTACACTGAAGCCCCAGAACGCTGATGTCCCACTGCTTAAGGAAGACAGAAACCACCAATCTTAGGAGCCAGACAGCTGCTGGAAGGGGAGCCTACCACCTTAGAAAAGATACTAACAACTTAGTATTAGCCATACTAATAATGGGACTTTTCTGCATTAATTTGGACTATGAATTTTAGTAGTACTACAACTACACTAACAGTAATTTTTTGCTACATTTTTAATGAGATTATTAAAACACTAGTTGGACTAACAATAAATTCTTAGCTCTGCATATGAAGTGTGTTCCCTTTTGCTGTAACGAGACTTAGAATGTAAAAGAGGGATTGAACAAGTATTGCTGACACACAATGCTGTTGGCTTTTTTGACATACAAAATCATTATAGGTCTGGAGACTGATTTGTAATTTGACTCAGCTATTGAGCAGCACTCATACAGAGAACACTTCCTTTAGTAAAGTTTTTCCTTAGAGGAAAAACTAGAATCATTCAGGAGAGCATGGCTAATTGGCACAACGTCCGCTTTCTTTATCACCAAAACAAGGTAGGAATGCATCAGCTATCTGAACAAAGGATTTCTCAATAGTACTTTCCTGGGCTTTCTGGGTCATCCCTTCAAGGAATTGCATATAAGCACATCTCTTTCTGAAAGCTCACTCAGGTAGCTATCAGGAAACAGCTGCAGGATTTGCTAATAAGTTTAAGTTTCACATAAGAAAAGGTAAAGTTGAGAGATGGAGACTTCTGCTTTGGCAGGGCCAAACACAAGTATACACTTTGAAAAAGAAACCAAAATAAAAATTGATAATTTATTTTTTCTTTCAAGTGACAAGTAATAAATAAAAAATATTTGCAAATTGAAAATCTTATGAGAGAAGCAAACCAAAAGCAAAGGAGAATTCAGTTCTTGGGTATGAACAACAAGAAGGTAACTGGGTGGGTCTGCTCATTGCAGCCTTCGGACCACAGCATGAGAGAGAAGATGTCAGTGTCAGTGTATGCTCGTGGGTTACAGAACTCTCCTGTCCCTGCACAGAGGGTGCTAACATGCAGTTTGCGTAACACAAATACAGTTACAGGATGCCTTGTTTTTGGGTTTTTTTTGGTTTTTTTTTTTTTTTAAATTTAGACAAAATGAACCATGTCAAATCTTGCCCATCTCAAAATAGAAACATTTGTTTAAAAAGTGAGATTATGTTTAAACATGTTAGGTGTTTTATCTAGCTGAATAAGGGCTACCAAACACATGAGTATGCAGAAACTTGTAGGAAATGCATGTGAGTAGCAAGTCAAAAAAACTTCCAGATGTACAGTTTGAGGATGCCTAAACAAATGGATGAAGTCAGGCTTGAATTTGCTCCTTTCATCTATTGATGAGCTAACTCCAGCAACACAGCTGAGTCAGTAAGGCAGTCTGCCCAAACAGTGTATCTATCCTACTTGGAGAAAATAAATGGAATGGGTATTCCCTGGAAGTAACTGAAAAAGGAAACAGGAATGCGTAGACTGGGATGAGCCTTCTATTAAAATATAAAACATGCTTTTTAGCAGATGAAACAATCAGAAAACATCAAAATGATGAAATATTTTTTTCATACAGCTGCCCTTCAACATCACAGATAAGATGGAATTTCCCTGTAGGAATGACAAGGTAGACAGTCTGCTATGTCATACTTGGTGAAGAGACTATAAAATCAGAAGAAAGCTAACTTTATCTTGACATAGTGCTATTACAGTTTCCTTCAACTTTCTCAAAATATTATCTGTTTTTCTGCAGAACCCTACCACACAGGATCTGAGGAAGCACAGGCTTAAATGTAATGCTTAACTCTGTCCTAAAACCACCAACAGAACTAGGTGAGCTTACAACACTGTTCAGCTTCCTTTCAGCTGGGAATTCCCTCTCTCCTTTGTCCTTTCCCCTACTCCCCCCCCAACCCTGAATTTCTCCTTCCCACCTCTCTTTTGGCCTGCTCCTGAGCATCACAGTTCAGAACAACACAGGGCTCTAGTTTTAAGTTTATTTCTAGAAATAGTATAGAACAGATATTACCTGATTTTTGAAAGGGTTAGATTATAAATTTGTATATACTGTATAATTTCATCTAAAAGGCGATCTGTCATGGAATCAAAATCAGCAAAGGTATCATTCTGTAAAATAAAAGAAATAAAAAATAATAACTGTATTTTCTAATGCAGCAATATACATTCTGCATTCAGTCTGAATTCGTATTCCCCAGTGTTTTGATCAACAGCACACAAATAAAAGCATCCACATTAACTTTGAATACAAACACTACAGCTAGTTATAATTTTTTCAAGGTTTTTTTTTTTTGTAACATGGAATAAAGTGATACACATTTTAATGTAAGACTACTTTCTTCTAATATACCAAAACAAATCTTAACATTACACTGCCAGCCTTACTTCTAAGCCTTCCCCTACACATAATCTTATCTGTAG